GGAACTCTCAATAGGGCGTTACCTCTCCTCCTTGGGGGAGCTTGAGCTCTTCCTTGGGGTTCTTCATCCTCGGCGGAAGATACAGGCCGACGAGCTCCATGCGATGGAATCGTCGGCGAAGCTTCCTATAGATAAGCTTCTGCATGCGATACTCACCAAGGGCAAAGAACATCCCCATCTCCCTTTCCCAGTACTCCACCCCGGAGGGATCATTATTGGTCCAATCTTCAAACTTGGGAACCACCATGCCAAAAGTATAACTTAAGTGCTCGTCAGCCTTCCAGCCCTTGGCCATGAATTTTGTCACGGCCTCATCACCACCCTTTTCCACCAACCCTTTGAGCCGCTCGACCTCATTAGCACGTGTTTCGACCTCAACCTCAGCTTTTAACGAGGCATCAAGCTTCGTCTGAAGATCACGCTTCTCATTCTCATCCTTGTCAGTTTGCTTCTTCAGAGCATCAAACTCGACATGCAGCTTATCCAACCTCTTTAAAGTCTCATCAACCGAGGCATCTATCCTCTCAAACTCCCTAAGATGCTCCTTCTGCCTTCTTTAATTTGATGTTACATCAAAAGAAAGGCGCCCTAGACGACACGACACATTAGTAAGAAAGCAACGAAAGAAAAAGGGGAATCATAAAACAGAAATTAAGGAACTTACTGAGAGGATGTTGTCTATCGCATCGTCAAATAGACATACATTCTTCAAACGAACCAAGTAAGTTCGATCTTCCTCGAGAATGACTTGAGAAACCAAGTCATGCGCATTGACGACATAGTTGAAGAGGCCACCCTGACCGAGTAGTGCACCACAATCTCAGTAAGGCCATCATTCCCTCTTCGGCGAATACCGACACTGCTAGACGTAATTCCCATGTCCACGGGCTGAGAATGCACCCCCCCCCCCCCCCCCCCCCCCGACGATGGCTGAAGGGTCATATCCTCAACAACAACGACGACATCATCATGACACACCTCATCCACATCCTGTTCAAGGACGTCAGAGCCTTCACTGTGCTTCGACTTTTGGCAGGCTTGGAAGGCTGCAAGCCAGCCTCAGTAAGTGTTTTCTTGCCCCTCGGCGGTAGCATGTCTCTTTTTCTTCACCGGTGTTTTTTTGCAGCATCAGATTTTGCATTACCCCCATCAACGGAGGAATGTTTGACCATTTCGACCTCCTCACTCATGGCCTTCATTTAGGCTGCTACATTCTTCTTGGCTTGCATCATGAAAGATACATGACTCATCTCAAACTCTGTAAAAAACAAGGCAGTTGGCAAAAATAAAGCTAAATACAAATAGTAAGGAGTGCACAGATTAGGGAGCCACCTTGAGCAGCCTCGGTAACCCCTTCCAGTGGACCACCGACCTCCTCATATGAGCATGCCATCCGAGGGTAAAAACCATCATCAACATCACCAGGAATATACTACCGCACGAAGCCAAGAGCTGCCATCTCGGACTCTGTGATGTAATCCTTCACGCCCATCGGCCCCCTTTCAAGAAAAGGTCAACTTGTTCCTCAATTGTCTCGTTTGTCAAATTGGAATGGAGCTGGAAGATCCCAGAATGATCAGAAGGAAATTGTGTCGCACCACCGAGGGTCACAAATATGAACCTGAATTTCCAGCCATGGATGGACGTAAAGAGGTCCTTGAAAGATATCCTCCCCCTCACCTGTTGAAGATTGACAAAGCCGACACAATTTTTATTGCCTCCTAGGCCAATCTTAAAAATATTCATTAGCAGCCGTAATGACGGCGTGATCCCCAACTCATCGCATCGAATCAAGAACCCCACCACCAAGGAATAACTGTTTGGTGTCAACAAGGCCGATAATAGGTCCATTTCTTTAAAATACTCAATCATGAATGGATGGAGGGGGGACTGCAATACCTTGGAAAAACTCATGGGATACACCCCGAAGTACCCCAAAGGCGGTGTCATCACATTGTCCTTCGGCTTAGGAGCCCTCACTCGATCATAGGGATCGACGTACATCTGCGCAACGTGAAGATCGCTCGTCCAACTCTCTGACTGGATTATGCGTAGATTCGTGAGATCCAGGCGTGACAACCCCGGCTCCATCCCTTGGAGCCACGTGATCTATGATTCTTATTGCCCCCTGGATGTAACACCTTGGACGAAAGATACGGGGGGCGAACTTGGAATATTGGCCGAAGTGGCACACCATTGATGCCCCCAGGGGATCCCGGATCACCATTGTCTTTTGATCCTTCCCGGTCATCCTTTGTACGATACTCACTAATGTTCTCCATCTCGGCGTTGAATTACTCCACTAGTTTCAATGGCACACTCGGCTTAAGAGATGTGTCGTCCTTGTCAAAAGGAAAATACTCCTCGTCCAGGGATTTTGGCACAACAGGGAACCCGAGGATGTTTCGAGGGTTCGGGGACGACATATTTAAAAAACAGTTCTAAGGGAGGATTTCTTGGATCTAAGTAATTTTTCCTACAAACATTATATCTAACTTCCCTGAAGCAAAGTATAAACAAAAAAATGAAGAACAGACAAGGAACTGACCTTGAAGATTTGAAGAACGCGAAGAACCATTTATCTCTCTACAAATTGGTAGCACTTCGTTAACTCTCGAATGCAAAGCAAGAAGGTGTGCCTCGAAGAGGTGTTAAAGATTCCCCAACGGTCACTACATGTGGCGCTTCCCCAGTGGCCAGTTCAACAGTCGCCAAAGTGTACAACCACTCCTCCGGTGCCATGTGCCCCACTGCCGTACAGTTGATGCACAACGGTCACACGCTCCCTCAACGACGGAATCAAATGTAACAGCCGCATTACCATCGGCCACATGCCTTTACGCTTAACAGAGTCATCAACTGTCACTAAACGGTTTCCACAACACGTTTCCACTTCGGCATCACTTCATCAAAACAGAAAAGCGTCCCTTCTACAGAACCCATATAAGATAACCTTCGGCCTGCGACCTTCGTCCAAGGATTCTCCCATAGGATTGCCTTGGTCAGAGATTGCCAAGAGGTTGGATTCATGAGGAATTCGAGGGTGCCACCTCAGCTTCAGATACTTTCTACTCCTTCACACATCGCACCACTTGGCTTGAAGGAGTGGGGGGCTAGGACTGCACCTCGCCCTAAAGCCAGCAAATCCAAGAGGTACCAAAATCTAGGCTACAAGAAATGACACAGCTTGACCGTCATAGTCATCAACACAGAGCCACAACAACCATAAAATCAAATTCACCAAGATATAGGGAACAACAACACACCAACTAGAAACCTTTGGGCCACCGTGGCCAAAGCTCAGACTCAAACAGAATAAGAGACCGAACACATGAATGCTCTACTCTCGTTCACCTCTCGGATCAGAGAGTGGGAACTACTGATAGAGTATATGACCCCAAATCCCATGGCCCACACACTCATAGAAGGCAAACACCGCTTGGATGGTTCCCTCAGCCAATGGCTCCACTAACAACTTATATTTAACACTTAGCTCTATGAAATCATGTAATCAGCCCATTGGTAGCCCACTATTGTATCAAGCCTCCCAGGCCCAAGGCTCGAGAGCGCAACCCATATTTCCTCTATAAATACATCCCCTTGGTGTAGTTGTAGGGGGTTGACAAATATTAATATTAATTGCAAATAACTTTCTATCTCTAACTTTCACTTCTCTCTAGATCTAAACTCTATCACTAACATTATTCCTCAAAAATTAAACTTCTAATACATTAATAAATAAAGTAAAGTCAAAGTAGAACATCTAAATAGTGTGAAATTCAACATGTTAAAATTATTTAAAAAAATACCCCATATATAAGATTGTTAACTTTTCAAACAAGTGAGTTGTATTATACAAATAATTAAGTTAATTAATACTACGTACAAAAAAGTTTGATTTTAGTAAAAATGATTCAAAAAGGAAAAAATTACTAGCATACATACTAACATACACATTACACAACATAAATCATAAAAAATGACACCCCATCACCGAGGTCCTCTCAGAACCGACCAAATAATTATGTGAGAGGATGTAAGTTGATCACACTCTAATGGAAAAGTGAGTAAGGTTTCATACTTCCATCCCAAATCATAGGTTGGAATTGAACCTGAGACCTCTTCCTTATGACACTTTCTTCCTACCAGGTGAGCTATGTCCCACGGGTATAAACATAACCCATTGTTTTATTGTTTGAGAAGTGACACAACGTACAAAATTGTACAAAAAGTGTGTGCGCCTAAGACCATTGGAGTGCGCGGAAAACACCCTATTTTTTTGAGAAAAATAAACTAAATACACTCTTATACTAATTTCAATCTTTCATTTAAGTCTATATACCAATAAAAGTATCAGATAAGTACCTTTACTTTAAAAACACGGCCAATTAAGACAATTTAACCTCTATAGCAGGTTATTTTTCAAAAATTAATTAAAACAGTTGATAAATCTTATAAAAATCACATAAATTTGATAAATAATGTACTAATTTTATAAAACTAATATAAATTCCAAAATAGATAAACGATTTTAAACCGTTAAAATAAAAAATAAAAAAATCAGAAAAAGGAAAAACCGAGTAAGAGAAAAAAATAAAATTAAAATGTAATAAATTTTAAAAAGATGTAGAATATACAAATAATTCCAAAAATGTAATAACTTCCACGACTTTTGTTTAAATATATTTGAGTTAAAAAAAAAATTAATACGAAAAACCTGCTATTAAATGACAATCTTTGTAAGGTAAACGTAGTTATAGAATACTCTGTACTTGTTTAGTATAGGATATTAAGTGATAAAGATAAATACTACCTCCGGCCCGCTATGTTTGAATAAAGTAAGAATGAATTGTAACCACCCACATATTACTAAATATGGTACGAGACAAATTTAATAAGACATACGAAAAAGGTAAAACGGGACAAAGTTAGAGGGACTAGTAAAAAGACATATTTAACCATTGTGCTCTGTTTTTTATTATGTACGCACTATAGTGTAATTTTACATTTAATTTAATTTATACGAGTGATAATAATATGGGGCCTGTTTTAAACAAGGCCACTCCACTACACCGCCCTGCTCAGTGGTTCGCCCTGCTAGGGAAGTTGCAGTCATGGGAGCTCTCTCTCCGGCGCCACATTGGCTTCCTCATGACGACTATGTACTAAAAAGCGCCGCCGAGGTAGTAATGGAAACAAAAAGCCCTTATTAAAACCGTTGGTTATATATCGATTCCCGTTTCGTTTTATAATAAAAATATACTGTGTAGCTCTTGTTTGGGGATCATTCTTGTTGATCGGTTTTATGTTTTCCTTCGTATGGTTACTTTTTCCCCACGCTATCTATTTCGTTTTGGTTTTATTAGTAGCTTCTGTGTGGCGCGAGTGTCAGTGTTTAGTTCCATGAAAGTATGAAACCTTTTTGTTTGTTTAGAAAAAAGTGATTATTTTTCACTTCCCGTTCCTGCATGATTAGCTTCCATTTTCGCGTTCTTGGGTCTTTAAAATAAAATGGAAGTAATTTGTTTTATCCTGAATGGAGTTTTTTTCTTTTAGGTGAAAAAGTATGAAAGTTGGAGCTAATAGAAGGTGAAATTTGAAACAAATAACTAGTGAATCTTCATGAGGCCCCATGATATGCAAGAGAAAAATATATATAATCATAGGAGATTGTTAATATTCATAGATTTATTTAATTGTGTATTTTTTTCCTGCTTTAAGGTTTAGGATTACATTCTTCCATTTCATTGTCGATACATTTTTTTTGTCGATTTGGTTTTTCTTTATTTTTTTGCATTGATCGGAGAATTTCATAATATTGGTTTTTTGTTAATTCCTTTTTTGTTGGTTTTAGGCTGGTGCTTCATTAGAGTCACTTGCTAAAGGTGCTGTGCAGTTTTCCCGTCGATTTACTATTCAAGAATTGCACGAAAGATGGAAGTCTCTGCTATATGATTCAGTTGTTTCAGAACAGGCATCAGTCAACATGCTCCAATTTGAACGATCTTTTTCACAGCCATCAAAACATATGAATAGCAGCTTTGACAATGATAATGAAGACATCAATGTATCTGTTTCGGGGAAGAGACAAACCGAGAGTGTCAAAAGCTGCTATTATTCCATGCGGAAGAGAATCCGCAATGAAACATTCCTTCCTTCCATGGATATGGATTTTGTTACTGGCTGTTCTGGTAATAATAGTAGTAGTAGTGATAGTAATAGCAACAACAACAATATTAATAATAATAAAATTAGTAGGAAGAGTAATGATTGTGATCCTCCTCCACTACTGCTAGATTCTTCATTGTTTGGAATTTCATTGACAGATCAATTTGGTGAGTTTGAAGTCCAGCTATTACATTCACCGTTTGGATATTCACCTTTGTCTGAGATGCCTCCACACTGTAATATGGGAAACGATTTTACGCTTCCTGTTGATGATGGAGTTATTATCCCATCAGAACCTTGCAAAATGGAGGATCAGGTGGGAATTTCCACTCCTAGCACTGATGATCTCTTAGCGCAAATAGATTCCATCCTCAACTCCACGAGTGACGATGATATGTACCCAAAAGATAATATAAAAAATGAATCGTATTTGGACACTTACGGGTCACTTCTGTTGGACTTTCCAAACAATGGAGAAGAAGCAGAAAATGAAGAGAATATGGTATTACCATCCATGGAACCATCATCAGCTCACAAATCTCAGTATCTTCATTACGGTGGTGATCAAATGCTAATTTCATCGGCTCTGAGTGTCAATCCCGCATGTCCAGAGCTGCGTAACGGGGTAATATGCTGTACCTTAAACACAGAGGATCCGGATATCCCTAGCAACGATGACGTTTTCCTTCCCGTCCTGATTCCATCAACGCCTTTACCCTCTGCTATACTGTGCAAATATGACGAGACTTACCGTCCGGTGTTAAAAAGTGCTCCGGATATCCAAATAAACAACAACGGATGGTCTTACTCGAAGATGATTGACAAAAGTAATGTGGTGGTACCCAATAATGGCCTAATAGTCTTACCTATTAGGGACACCTGGAATGCGGTAGCGAGCAACACAAGCTTGAACGATGGTCTTAAAGTAGTGATTTCACCGGGAAGAATAACCTGTACTAATACAATATGTGCCCTACCTGTAGTGGAAGGAAGCGATCACACAAAGAAGACTGTTACCATCCAGAAGGAATTAGGAGGTTCCAAGGATACTCCAGAAAGGCAGGAATTTGGATGTTCTCATGACCAGAGTGAAAAAAAGTCAATGTTGGATCAGAAAGACTTGCCCGATGATCATAGTGACGAGGAAATACCTTTTTTTTCAGATATTGAGACATTGGTGAGGAAAAAATAGCTATGAGCTTGTTTGGGGTAACTTATGATATATATAATTTTTTCGCAAGTTTTTTCATTTTAGTACTTTAAAACATTTTTTAAAAACACCAATCTTTTGCTTTCATAATTAAGAATTAAAGGTTTTTATTTAACGTTAAAGCAGTTTTTTTTGCTTTCCATGCCAAACACTTATTTTGAAGTACACCTACCTTTTTACCCTATAAAAACCACTTATTCCTTAAAAATAAGATATCCCAAACACTCTCTATATGTTTGTAGGGTAAGGAATATAGTGTCGAGTAATCAAGACTAATGCTGAGTATTTGTTGTTTTTGAGATTCTGGATATGGACTTGAGCCCTGATGACAAAGACATCTCCTTTAATAAGAAAGGTATGGTTTCGGTTCATCTGTTGTTGATAACTAGTATTTACTCTTTTATATGCCTAGCACACAGGATTGCTGATCTAGTAGTATACATAGCAATTTCATTTATTTGTCTTTTTGATCTGTTTCTATATTCTTTTAGATGGATTAGAATGTCAAACATGGTTAGCATGTCCTCTGAAGTTCTAAAATGTATTTGACCGTTTCAGAATGTAAAAAGAACATAAGCTGCCCTGATTTTCTCCCAGAGGTCAAGGTTCCAGAAATGTCTATACTCCCTCCGTCCCATTTTACGTGTCCTACTTTCCTTTTTGGGTTGGCCCAAAATAAGTGTCTCATTTCCTCTTATGGAACGAAATGTGTGGTCTATAACATTTCACTTTATTATACTCATATCTCAACTATAACTTTTACTTTTTCAACCACTTTATTAATAATTGTGCCAAATCAAAGTGAGACACATAAAATGGGATGGAGGTAGTACTATAATACAACATCCAAACCTTATTCCGAAAAGATTGTGGGGTCGGCTAACATGAGTTGATCAATGATATAGAGCCAAAAAGAGAAGAAAGATAAGAGGGAAAAAAGTACGATAAAATGAATAAGATAAAGATAAATACTTCCTCCGTTCCATAAAAGTTGTAACATTGGAATTTCTGCACTATTCACACACCTTACTTTGACTACGATTTTCTAATAATATATATAATAAAAAATATTATGTATAAAATATTAATACATTTGTATTAATGTAAATTTTCAATATATTAACTTTTTTTAATGTTTGCTAATACGTAAATAAATATAATTACAGTCAAAGTTGCGCGTTGGCAAACGTGAAAGTCAAACTGTTGCAACTTTTATGGAACGGAGGATAGTATAAAATAACAATAACATAAGAACATGACAAAGATAAAAAAGGATAAGAAAGATAAAAGATAGAAAAAAAAAGAATATAGAAAAAGAAAATAAACGATAAAAGAAAAGGAGAGAGAAAGAAGAGGAAAGAGAGAAAAGAGATCAATCGTCCACACAACGATATTCATATTTCGATTCATGTCATGTGATGTGGCTAAGTGATACTGTTGGCCGTCACGCGCCTACCATAACGCCCTCCTCCTTTAGCTTGACTTTGGAAAGGCATGATACCAAAAATGATCTCATGGTGGAGTTTTACTACAATAAATATTTTTAATTTTATGTGTGAAAGATAGTTAAGAGTAGCTTCTATATTTCCATTACTCTAGTACACATTATATTACATGTAACTGAGTGTCTAACCACTCAAGCTGCATATTAGTACATCTTTAATCTCTTCACTCCTGCCGTGATAACCATATTCGATTACTTGCATTTCAAGTACACTTAAGTGCACTTGCCTTTAGGCAGTTTAACTCTAATTCCATGCATCAAAGTAAGATTCTTTTTAGAACTAGATCCCTCATCTGGATGCTTACGGGATTAAACTATCCTGTCTTGGATGAGCCTTGCAGCGTGCCCCTGAAAATATTGGATAGTTCGATTTGCAATTTGTAGTTTAGTACTTGTTTCTATCCATATATTAAAAATAGGGGAATTATCCTAAATAGGACTAAAAACGTTTGTATATTCCAAAATAGGACTGTCATGTTTTTATTCCCAAAATAGGACTAATTATTGTCATGTTTTGGCAGTACCAGACTCTAGAGATGGTAGTATTTTCCAAACCCGACAGTAATTACTCCTATTTTGGTAATAAAAACATGGCAGTCCTATTTTGGAAGTTTCAAACTTATTTACTCCTATTTCGGGAACTTTCCCTTAAAAATATATCAAGTATATGTTGTGTTACCTACTCGGTGAATACACGACTAGTACTCGCAACTCGGGGGCTGGCCATTCCATTTAGCAACCTGACTCAATTCGTTTTGTTTTTTCGAGTTACCCGCCGAGTACTCTACGAGTTTCTTAACTCGGGAGATATTTGACTTGATGAGCTGCTTGGCCACTCATAAATATTTTTTTGGGTTAAATCTATTTTTTTATTAAAGTGGTATATTATGGAGTGATCTCGTATCATCTTTTTCCCTCATCTTTTTTCCTTGTTTTTTATCCTTATATATAAGCATTATTTGTATCCTTTTTATTTTATCATTTTTATGTATATTCATCTCTTTTTATATTATCTTTTTATAATAGCTTATCTTTTTTATCTTTATTTCCTTTCTTTTCCTTTTGGTGGTGATATCATGTATCGATTCATGTTAGCCGACCCCAATATCTTTTGGGACTAAGGCTTGGATGTTGTTGTTGTATTATGGAATTTATAAATAATGAGAGTATTTTAAAATTGGAAATGAACCTACAAAGTGTAGGTCAAAAAGTACCTCCTCCGATCTGAAATAACTCAACATCTTGCCTAAGGTGCGAGTCCTTCCAGGTATGTCAGTTTCTAAATTTGAATTCCTCTCCCATTTCTTTTCAAAGACACAAAACTGGTATGTGAAGAACAAAATACGCGATTGTCGCCGTTTGGAGATTAGTTTTAGAAAAGTGGAGGTCAGATCAAGCTTTATGACAGCTTAAAAAATAGAAGAAAGCTGGAGGCCAGTTTTAGAAAATAGGAGACCTGCAACGTGGACCCAAGTTTTGTCCATCCCGCTTTGAATTAAAAAACAAAAGAAAAAAGGGAGAAGCAGTAAAACAAATGTCTCGTACCGCTCAGTTTGGTAGAGGAGTAATATGCAATTACTGTTAGAAGTCCGAACACCTAATCAAAGAATGTAGAAAATTGACTTTCAAAAATCAAGGAAATCTGATTGCTGCGGTTGCTTCCGCTATCAGTTCATTTGGTGAATCAATTACTCTTTTTCAGATGAGTATGCCAATTTTCCCTGCTACTAAGAATCTCTTAAGCATTCCTCAGTTCCTATATTGGATGTCGGTAATTCAGGTAATTCAAACACATGTCTAGTCTCTTCATCCTCGAAATGGGTCATTAACTCAAGTGCCACATACCATATGACTGGCAATCCTCATCTTTTCTGATTAGTATTCAGGTTAGCTACAGTTGTCCCAACTTCAACATTACCGTTATCACCTATTTTGAGTCTTCCTAACTTTGCATTTAATTTACTTTCCATTACCCTTAACTATTCTAAAACATTCTTTCCTAGATATTGAGTGTTTAAGGATCTAATGGCAAAGCAAACTGTTGGTAAAGGACATGAGTGAACCAGTCTTTGCATTTGGATTCATCAATCCCAAAAAGTATCTCTTGTCTTGGGGTTGAAACATTGTTAGAGGTCCATTATCGATTAGGACACCCATCTCTCCCACTAATGAAGCAAATATATCCTCGGTTTAATAAGGTGTCATCATTACAATGTTAATCATGTCAATTTGCGAAACATCATCGTACCAGTTTAAGTCATCGAGTTAATAAACGAGCAAATGCTCCTTTTGATCTTGTTCATTCTGATGTTTAGGATGCTTGTCCCCTCGAGTCCAAATATGGTCTTAAATATTTCATTAACTTTGTTGATTATTATTCTCGTATGACGTGGCTATATTTTATGAAATGTCAATCTGAACGGTTTACTTGTTTTTTTCCTTTTGTGCTGAAATTAAAACTCAGTTTAATGTCTCTGTCTGTCTCTGTCTGTGTGTTCAGAGGAGACAATGCCCAGAAAAATCTATCTAACACATTTAAGTCATTTATGCTTCAACATGACATTATTAATCAAACATTCATACCTCATGCGTCGACACACCTCCTCAAAATGGAGTTGCTGAATGAATGAACATTGAACATACATCTGTTAGAAACCGCAAGGGCTCTTCTATTCCAAATGAATGTCTAAACAGTTTTCGGCTGATGCCGTGTCCATGGTTGTCATGGCGGTAAGGCGAGTCTCGGCACCAGCCGCCCGCCTTATCGCCTAGGCGATTAGGCGCCTGCCTAGGTGACAATTAGGTAACTCATCATCATCATTACCCCAGTGCCGCAAAGGCTCCCACCTACGGTGGGGTAAGGGGGGTCGGATGTACACAGTGTGGCCCCTGTACTGAAGCAACCGTGAGGTAACTAGTTGCACCATATGTAATAATCTATATATATATATATATTCATATATATTACTAGTATTAGTTACTAAGTCACTAACTGATCATATGAAGTATGACACCTTTGAAAAGCATGGACACATCCTAATACTTGAGTAGTTATATCTGTTAAAGACTCCCAGAATCTTGAATGTCATTTTGTTATATCTTGAATGTCATTTTGTTATATATTCATAAAAATAAAATATCATTTAGGTTGCATATATCAAGTCTATAAATTAACTGGTGTGCTCAATTATGAATACTTTATCTTCTTAACTGTGGTTAGTTATCTCCAGTTCTCAATCATAAGTTATATTTCGTAAAATATAAAATAAATGCACTATTGTATACGTAGAATATTGAAAAAATATGCATTTTGACTCAAGTACTAAAAAGAATACACATTAATAGTTCAGTTTCCCTGTTTGGCATATCAACATCAAATTACTCTAATTTGTCAAAACCAAATGTTTCCCGTTAATTCCGTTTGTTTTTGTTCTGTCAATTTTCAGTTGTAAAATATCAACACCACCAGGCTAAAAGAACTATAATGAGACTGGAGCAGGCAGCTGATGCTCATATACAAAGATTAATTGCGTCTCGAGGAGCGTTTGGTGTTTTGTATGGTCGCCGTTCAAACCATTTTATTAAAAAACCAGAGGTATTTTAATGATGTTTCACTTATCTCCAATCTTATGAAAATATATCTTTCAGACTCCTAACATGATATGATGACTTCATGGTAGGTTTTAGTTGGGAGGGGAACTGCAGACACAGAAGTTGATATTGATTTGAGCCGAGAATGTCGTGGTGGTAATAAAGTTTCCAGGCGGCAGGTAATTCTGAATTATATATGACCAATAAATCTATAAAGGGGTGTATTATTATTATTATTGTTATTGTTGTTATTATTGTTGTTGTTGTTGTTGTTGTTGTTGTCGTTGTCGTTGTCGTCGTCGTGGCTCATGAGGTGTGGATAAGCAGAAACCTAAATGATTTTCTTACCCGCATTCTATTTCTTTTTATATCACTGATAAGGCAATTATGAAGATCAACATGGATGGGGCTTTCGTATTGCAAAATGTTAGCAAATACTCTATTCATATGAATGGGAAAGAAATAGCACCCCTCCAAAGTGTTCATCTTACAGCAAGTTCTTTGATTGAGGTATGTATAGCTTAGTTTTCACAACATTGATTGATCTATATCCCCATAAATGTAAATTTTAGTTATTTTCTCTCCCCTTTCTTCTGTTTCTTATTTATCTAGGGTTACTTACATTGATCTTTTCCAATGTTCGGTCAAATTACCAAATGATCCTCTGGTTTTCTGAAAATTACAACTACGCACCTTGAGCATTCAAATGTTTTTGCAAACAGCATTGAAGATGTAATGATATTATTATTAGTAACAATTCAGTTTTTTGAACTAAATAATTGTCACCAAGATTCTCTGTGACAGAAAGTTTTAAATGTTTCAGCTGAAAAAAGCACACAAAACCTACCTAGTTAAGAGGGGAGTTCCAAGACAAATCTAGCTAGTTGAGGGGTTTATTTGTAATATATTCAGATACTTCAAAGGGTAATATGGCAGTTTAATCGAAACACGGGGAGGTAGACGTCATTAAGTAATTAACCATTCATCTAATTAAAAAAGGAAACTATTTGCATCACGTGCAGATAAGGGGAATGTCATTTGTATTTGAGATGAACCTGAACCGAGTAAAGCAGTTTCTTGAAGACATAGTCAGGGAAAATGAAGTTTGAAAAATTGCTCATTAGGTCCCTGAAGTGCCGAAGTTTTTCGCCGCGCTGTAAATAAAATAGTTAAGTTTTCTTATATCTTTTTTCCCTCTAAATCTGTATAGATAGGAGTTCTATGTGCATCAGTAGGAGAAAGTTTTCTGCATTTTTCTTCTTCCATTCCACATTTCCGTTTACCAATAGATATGCAGTTATCCTGTGAATATATCAAGTGGCAATATTACCAAACAGAAAAAGAGAAAGCATCTGATTGCTATTTTTAGGTCGGTCCGGCAGGCTGAGAGAAGTTAGAAGTTATTTAGGAAGCTGTTGAATTCTCGGCATCAGTGTGTATAGTTTTTAATGGATAATACACGTCCTGTTTATGACCTTTTAGTGTTATATTTTCTTTGTCTCGTTAAGATTGTCTCATCTGCCCTTTTTGGTCCGTTCCACTAAGATGGTCTCATATCAAATTTGGTGGAGTTTGTGTGGTTTTGAGCCGTTCTTACTTTATTTTTTACTTTACCTTATTTTTACTTTATTAATTCGTCATCATATCATCATCATGTGTAGGAAAATTTAGTTTTGTTGTAAAATCGTTGACATGACAATTGAGAATTGTTCACGGATGTAAACAAGATCGTGCCATATGTTGAGACCAGTGAGGCATGGGCCTCATTCCTCATGGCCCAAAAATGTAAAACAAAGTTAGGGCCCAAACTTTCAAATATATATCGAGGACAATTCAAGTCCAGCCGATTTGACGGGAACTGCCGTTCGGCCGAGGCCGTTTGGGGCCGTCCTGGTGGGTTTTTATGATCAATTTTTTGAGCATGTTTTCATCAAGTATAGTTTATGACCACCAAATTTCAGCTAAAATTCAATCGGAAAGTCAGTCAAATATGTAATTGAAAAACACTGCGTTGTTCATATTTATAAAGCGCAGTGTCCTTATAAGCTGAATTTTTGTGAGAATAAATTAGACTTAATGAAAAACATTTTCAAAAAATTTCATCTAAAAATCCCACTGTGAAGGCCCCCAAATGGCCTCTCGCCGGTTCTCTATGTGTGTGTATAAGAGATCAAATGCAAACCATGCTTAAAATAATAAACTACAAACTCAATAATATGCAACATTTTGAACTTTAATATGCAATACATATAATGTAAAGATGCACACTGTGAACTTCAAATAAACTGACTCGACAGATAAAATAAATTACCCCCTACACTTGTGCGCGTAATTAAAAACCATAATTCAGCATTCCCAATTTAGAAATCAGGAACATAAATCTTTTCTCATCCAAAGCTTTAATGAATAGATCATCCAGTTGTAGCTCAGTGCACACAAAGTATGGATCCACGTGACCTTTCTCAATATGATTTTTGATTAAGTGAAATCTTAGGTTAATGTGCTTAGTGCGAGAATGATGAACCGGGACCATCGAGTTGCATGTGTGTTACACACACTAGATTCTCACCCGTGCGATGCAGGGATATAAGAGTACCTTAAAATTATAATCTTGAATTCAATTGAAGTAGTCTATGTATATTAATATATTATATTGCATAAAATGGTATGAAAATAGACATGTGGATATATAGATAATTATGTCAATTTTAAGATGAGGAAATGTAAAAAGTTCTCTACGTTAAGCAATATAGATCACAATTTCAAAGTGACATCAAGGCAAATATATAATAAGTGTTATGATTCCAATAAAAGATTGTTTAACGTGAAAAACTGTGAAGATGTAACTTTTAATTCTCTACATTACCTTTAGTCTTTGAAGGTTGCACTTTTACGTGGAGATAAAAAAAGTTCATTAAATCACGACATTGCCACTACATTTGGACCTAATTTGATGTACCATTAGCACTTTTAGAGCCCTTAGATCTCATATCCAATGTATTAGTCGATTCTCCTTCTCACGTTAAGCTTTTTTTATTTGATCGATACTACATGCGTTATTTCCATATCAGCATTGAAGAACTTCTAATCAAATTTAATTACTTGACGTAATTTCAATATAGAAGCATTTTTTTTTGTAAAAACACGTGAGTGAAGTCATTACATTTTATCATTTCATTTTATTCATTGTTCTCTCCATCCCAAATTAAGAAAGTGGTTAAACTAATTTCAATATTGTACTTTTATTACCCACTTCTAGAAGAAATAGGGCAACTAAACACACCTTTTCTCTTGAATTTGTACTCCGTATATAGTAATATCCACAAGGATGTTTAGAAACTTTTGAGTATGCATTTAAGCATTTTCCTTTTTATAAACAAAACAAATAACAACCCTTTTAAATGGAGTAAACTAATCTCTGTCTTCTCTTTTTTGAGCCATGAAAAAACTCATACACACAACCCTTGAAAGATTTCTAGGCCGGCTCACCCCTAAAGAGAAATTTCTTTTGTTGATACTTCATATAAAATAGGTCTAATGTTTACTTACTCATTTCATAGAAAATAAAGTCTAATACTTCTTTCATTACATTTTATATATTAATGTAATGATAAATTGTTTTCAAACAAAATTGTTAAATGTGTCTTATTATAAATTTGCTAAAACTGATTTTTTTACTAATACACCAGAATTAAATACTCTATATACTAATAATCAAAGTTATATATTGGCTGGCAAACATGAAAAGTGAACTATTGTACTTATTTAAGAGTTGAGTAGTATTTCTCATTTCAAATCTTCAGCCATGGCCGTTATTTATACTCAGCTCTTTAATTTTGTTAGTTTGTCAACGACTCCCAGATTAATAAACAATGTCTGAAAAACTGAAAATTATTGAACGTAACAAACTTATTAAAGGTTGAAGTCATGTCAGTTTTTAAGTCTATTAGTACACATCCCAAGACAATTAAACGGGAGCATTGTTTAAAAAGAATGGATAACGAATTGATCATTCCTAATAATCCATACAACTTTCTAGAGATCATTAATTACTGTTGCTTTCTTATAGACATGAAAACTGAGGAAAAATCAGCAGGGGTGGGGAAGATATGAGAAGATACAACACACAACATTAACATGACTTGTAGATTGGAACATAGAAAAGAGAGATGTGTTGGACAATATATTAGGCTAATTACATGGTGTGTGAAGGCGGTGACCGGGGCTAGAGAGGTACCACGTAAGAGACATAATGGTCGCCACGTTAATGGTACAACCTCCGGTCTTTGGGGCTGTTTGTTTCTTGGCGGTTTCAGCCAAAACGCTGCAAAAAGCAGCGGTTTTCCTTTGTAAATAAATGGTGGTTTGGCCTAAGCCGCTGATATCCAAACAAAAAATGGACTCGGGCTGGTCCGGTTCCGGTTCCGGGCCGGGCCCGAACGGGCTTTTTTCCAGAAACTTGGACCCGGAACTGGCCCGGGTTGATACCGGGTCCGGGCCGGGCCGGTTCGGGCCGGTTCAACGTATAAATATTTTTTTTGGCTTTCTTGTTATCTCTCGACCCCCCTCACCCCACCCCCCAAACCTCCCCAAAACACCCCCTACCCAAGGAAAAGAAAAAAATTGAAAAAAGGCCCGGAACCGGCCCGAACCGGGCGGTCCGGTTCATATAATTGTGGGCCCGTAACCGGCCCGCCAGGCCCGCTCAACCCAGCCTAAAGCCCGGAACCGGCCATCCGGGTCCGGTCTGGTCTGGGCCCGTACAGTAATGGGCCGGGTCGGTTCCGGTCCGGTCCGGTTCGGCCCGGTTGGGTCCATGCCTAATCCAAACGGGGCTTTTGTTATTGCTTTTTTTGCGACCGTTGTGGTCAAAGCCCAAGCTTGATTCAAGTCTGATTCGGCCAATTTTCTTGCAAACTTCATTGCTTTCGTTTCTCTCAGACGCCGTAAATAGTTGTTATTTGACCGATTCCTTGGCTCCTTCATCAATCTCGTACACTTTCACCATCGCCTTGTGGACTTTATCCACTACCATGTTTTCCACCTTTATGATGCCATCTTCGACCACCCGCCTTGTTTCTTCGTAGACGCTATGTGCTTTCCTTGCAGCTGCCTGCACTATGCATGTCTCATATCTACTGCCTCTCCGATGCTATGCCTTGTTTTCTCACCACGTCATATTCCCTCTCAGCCACGTCTCCAACCATCTCCACCGCCTTTTGGCTTATCTTGGCCGCCCGTCTCTTGGCTTTCCAGCCCCTTGCCCACTGCATCCCTCGTATGTATGTGCAAAACCATGGAAAACCAAAACCCATTAAGTAGGACTCACACCTCACTTTATTTAACCATTAATTTCCAAACACTCCATTGAAATATATGAAGAGAGGCACGCAGACAGCTATTTTATCTCTCACAATCCTCACCCCATTAATCGACCACATGGCAAGCAGACAACCTTCACTTTTGTTACTACTGTTATGTTTTGTGGTGTGGTCTTGCACTTGTAAATCATCCATATGACTATATTTATAGTGGATTTGCATTCCATACAATACTCTAGTTGCTAAATGTTATGTCCATTGAATAATACGATGTTCCAATGTTCCGATGACGGCGTTCAAGAAGTGGCAGCACCCGACAACTCTACTTTCCTTCGATCTGGCTCTGTTTGTGAGGTTTGTTAATACTGGTAGATGATATTAGATCTGAGTGACGCCGCCCAAACCTATTACTCCCTCTGTTCCATTTTGTAAGATACTTTTCCTATTAACTTGGTCAACACAAATCACTCTTAATCTCTTACTTTATATATCAAATTTTTATCAAACATGTCGGACAGTTGTCCGTAGCATCATAGGGAGGACTCCTTTTGAGTCCTCCCTATGATGAGTCAATTTAGGATTATGATCATTTAATATGGGCATTGAACATTGACAAAGAATATGACAATAAGTATTGAGTGTGATAGTGAATATGGCAATATATATGTTGTACATGGCAGTGAATTAATACACTAAGGAATTTTGTTGTGCATTGATTATGACTGGAAGTGCAGTAACACAGAGCAGTAATTTCGCCATTAAACGCAATATACTTAATTAGACGTAAAACAATAAAATTATTAAATATAAAAAAAAAACTATAAATAATTTCGTAAAGTGAATGAGAAGAGAATTAATTTTGGCGGAAGTGCAGTGATTCTTACCAGAAGTGCAGTAATGTTGTGCAGTAATATCATGCAGTAATGTTGTGCAGTAAAGACAATATAAAGTGCAGTAATTCTAATTGGAAGAAATTAGTGCAAAATGCATATATTTTCTATAGGGGTATTTTCGTAATTCAATATTTAAATACACACAAAATTTTCTTTTGTTTTTGAATTTTCGGTCATATAAAAGTCCAAAAACTAGTTAGGTCATAGATTGGGAAACTCATTGAGTTTTAGTCATATCCTAGGAAATTTCCCTATTTGAGAAACCTGATCGGGTATCTTGAGTAATTGCCATGAATCTTCATTAGTCACGTGATACCCGATCGGGTAAATGTTTTACTCGATCGGGTAAAAGACAAATCTTTGTTAAATCTTC